GAAGAAGAAGAAGAAGAAGAAGAAGAAGAAGAAGAAGAAGAAGAAGAAGAAGAAGAAGAAGAAGAAGAAGAAGTAGTAGTAGTACAAGTACTCAGGTCTCCTTATTTGTCTTTCCATTTCTTAGCTTCTGTGAGAAAGAGCACACACAGAGCTACCAGCTCCAAACCCTTGCCACAGGAACCTGAAAACTGAAAGCCACCTGCTTGTCCACTGCTTCAACGACTGACTGTTGCCAACTAGTCTCGATAAGGTGTAGCACTTGTAACTTGCCAGTCTGGTTCCTCAGGGCTGTGTATTTGAAGTCAGGCTGCTATAAATTTGGGTAGAAAGGAGCTCAGGCTGAGAAGCTTTGCAGGGCGGGAAAGCTGTGCTAGATGGAGAAACCAGGTAAGGAGCACACCCAGGGGAGGACCTAGAAGCTGGCACTTCACCCACGAGTGCTCAGAGTGAGGGTACAGACACACAGAAGTCTGGAAAGGTTGGAAGGTCAAAGCATCATTCCACTGGGTGATCAGGAATCTAGGAAACACATATCAGAATTAACAGAAGCTCATTGGTCATCTGTCAGAGAAGGAACAAGGGACTAAAATCTCATAGAAACCACAAGCACACCAATCACTCCTCCAAGTTGAGATAGCCAGGAGATGGAGCCCTTAATTACTGAAATAACCCTACACAGCCTCATGACCTTTCCTTCCTTCTGGGAAGGCACCTAGCCCCTGGGTGAGGCTCCCAGGTCTACAGGTTGGGCCAGTAGCTATGTGTGGTACCTTAGGAGCTGTGTTTGAGCACAGCTCCAGTTCCTGCCTTCCCAGAGCATCAGGTGAACGGCTTCTATCTCTCCTGTGGCCCTTGCATATTTATTGACCCTATAAAGTTTAGAATGAAAAAAGTTGATTAGAAATGTCAGGTTTGAGGCAGCTGTAGAGTGTCTGGATTAAGGTTAAGATTAAATTCAGCTCTTCTCTCTCTCTTTTTTTTATTGCTCTTTTTTTTTATTTGATTAAGTAACTACAAACAACTTTTTAAGACTGAAAGTAGCAAGTGAGTCAAAATTTTTAGATTCATAACAAACACAATTTATTCCTACAAACCACAGACACTTGTTTTACTTATATAACAGATAGGATAAAGGAGAAGATAATTTGAAACAAGATGAACATATAAGATCTAATTATAATATAGTTCGAATTTTACTTTTCATAGAAATAAAGGGTCCAGTGTCTTGTTTACCCTGCTATAATAACGTACCATAGCCTGAGAGATTTAATAAATCAGAAATATAGTTCTGAGTTCTAAGAGTAAGTCAAAAAAGAAGCAAGTCATATTTGCATCTAGTGAAAGTTTTCTTTCTTCTCCATAGATGGCATCTCCTTGGGTTCTCCCAAGGAGAAGAAATGGAGGCGTTTCACCATAGGACTCTGGCTGTGGTCCAAGCATTCAGCTCAACATGTGACTCTGAGGGTGGTGCAAGCATTCAGATCAGTATAGTTGATACTGGAAAGAACTGCAAAGTAGGCAAATGATGTTTTTAGAGACATGCTCTTCTCTTTGTCCCTTGGTGTGTGGCACTAGGAAGGAGGATTGTGTGTCTTTTGTGCATGTGAAGGAGGCAAGGAACAGCAGAAGTAGAAGAGAGAGAGGGGTCCTGTTAGAGTCAGTTTGCTAATCACACTGAGTTTAGAAGTTCAGCAGGCTTAAGTAAACTAATTAACCTCTGTGATACTTAGTTTCCTCATCTATAACTAATCCATGTTATACCTGAGAATTAGATTGGGCGTGATCATTTGTTTTTACTATTTATTAATATATTCATACTTATATATTTACTGTTTGCATTGGTACTGAGATACTTTATTACTGACCTGAATTGTAATTTGCATACCATAAAGATAACATGGAATCCATGCATAGTAATGACTAGGAAACCGTTTCAAATGGTTATTTGGCTATAAAAAGAGTCATAGCTTGTTGTAGGGCACTGAGAGAGTCCATGGGCTTCTGAAAGGCTTAATAAACATCTCTCTTTTAAAATTAAAACTAATACACTTAGAGGGAACTCAGACACTATGATTTTTATAAGTAACTTTATAAGGCCCAATTTTCTCTAACTGCAACCAGTTTCATTTTGTAATTAAGCAGGCTTTCTGTTTATTTCCATCTTACTATTAATTTTGTCCCAGTCATTTCGAGGCTGTCTAAGCAAAACTTAATTGCTGTTTGCTATTTCTTGTTCTAGGGAATGGACCTCACCACGACCGTTGCTGCACATACAATGAGAACAACTTGGTGGATGGTGTTTATTGTCTCCCAGTAGGACACTGGATTGAGGACACTGGGCACACCAATGAAATGAAGCACACGACAGACTTCTATTTTAATATTGCAGGCCACCAAGCCATGCATTATTCAAGGTAAAAATAGTGCCATGTTTGTAAGCTTCAAAGTAGGACAAGAGGTAGTGTTAGGACAATGGAAATACGTACTGAGCTCAAAACTGCAAGTGCTGTGAGCAGATAAATTCCAGTGTGTCTGTGCATGAGCTTTATCTGGTCTCTGTGTGAAAGAGTTTTATAGAATTCCTTATTTCATGTACATGCAGCTACCTGCATATTTAGACAGAATAATAGTTAACCAATCTACTGACTCAGTGGCTTGATTATAAAAATTGTTCTTAGATATTCCAGGTCACCTTGTGTCCTTTATTTTATACAATAAAGGAGACAAATGTTTGTGGTCTCCTTATAAATCTTTTCTCAATTATTAGTGCAAAAATAAGATGGAAGAGTAAATTGTTATTTGCTTATCATTCATTAATATTTTCTGTTTGTTTATTTAAATATTATAGTAGCAACATGTACCATAACAAAGAACAGCCATGAAAGAGGATGATAAATGAAAGATTACCTACATTTTCTTCACTGTCACTCTCCAGAAGTGATTGTTAAACTGCCTATGGCTAGTCTCGCTGGAATTCTAAATACTGTGTATGTCCTTTATTTGTTATTGTATTGATTTCCCTTTATTACAAGTGTGACTTCCTCATTTGTTTCTATCCCTTACACTAACCTCTGTCACGTAAATCAAAACACTTCTACTCTTACCTTCATGAAAATTGTATTCTATGATCTGTTTTTAACTGTGTCTTGTCATTTTATACTTCATAAAAGCATGTGTGCTTTGTGCCTTTATTTTTTCCAAACCTATTTCCCATGATTTATTGTCATTACTTTCACATTTTACGATATATAGTGAATATGACTTTCATATTTTAATTGATTAAAATGTAAAATCAATCTTCAAATACCATATATTATTTACTGCTGAACATGCAGTGATTATACCAACAGTCAAAAACAGTTGTAAAGGTATACTTATTTTATGTGCATGGATATTTGGCTTGCATGTATGTTTGTGTACTACGCATGTGCTCAGTTCCTGAGGAGACCAGAAGAGAACGTTGCCGCCCCAGGATTGGAGTTACAGACAGTTGTGGGCTGCTATATGGGTGCTGGGGATACAATCTGGACCCACTAGAAGAGCATCCAGTTCTCTTAGCTACTGAGCCATTTCTCCAGCCCCTTTCAGCATGTTCTTAAGAAATGTATTGTTTGTAGATAAGATCTCATGGGAGAAAGGAAATAGACAAACGCTGTAAATTCTTCAAAGTGTGAGAACATTGCTATTCTTTTTGGACGTACTGCCTTTCAAATTCATGTCTGATGTCAGACTTGCTGTACTGAGTGTGAGACGGGGTTACACATGAGTCTTGGACTTACAGCCGAGCTACACAGTTAATGGTGCTGCTGTTCACTGAGACGAGGATGACTTGGGGAGTGCCAGTGCTTGAGTCAGGTGAGCATCTTTGGAATGCTACTAAGAAGCCAGTATACATAGCAGTTCAATACACAAGAATTCGGAGGAGCGTGTGGAACGGTGATGCGCATCTGGCGATTTTCTCTCTGGAGATGATGCTCAGAGTGATGAGTGTCGTGAGACAGTGGAGCAGATGAGGGAGATAAAGGAAAAATGGAGATGAAGTGAAAACGGAAAGCGTTGGGTCCGTATAATTCAAATGTCCAGGGAAAGAGCAGCACATGCCGAGCTAGTCTAAGCTCTCGTGAGGATGCTCTTGGGGCTTGTCTCCCGTCTGTCCTGAACAAAACTCCCTAGACCATGTATAGCACCTGCCATGGGGTCAAGAGACTTCCTTCTGGGGCGTGATTTTTCTCATCTTTTTTTACCGTGTTCAATTGCTGTCGCTAAAGATTTTCCTTAGGAGCATGTTGGGCCTGTTGGAGTCACATTCCACTGTTTGTCGATATTCTTCACCTGCTAGTTTTATTGCTTTCTATTCTGGAGACTTTCTCAGTATTCATTTTTCCAAAATAAACTACAGAATAATTTTTCCTAATTTTGGGAATTTTAAGTGTACCTTGATTTTTGTTATCTTTGTTCTAGTTTATGAATGGATGTATTCATGAGTCTCTCTTATAATGCTTATAATGTTTCCTCCCCAACTAGTTGCTTTTTACTTCTTTGAATATTTCTTTTATAGTTTTAAAATGGCCAATGATTTTTAATTGCTCACATTTGTCATGTGAAAGCCTGGGTTGGCTCTCTCAATGGTAGGAGCTTCCTCTACCATTACTGACTGCTCTGTCTGAGGTGTTGGTTAAATGGCTGATGTCAGCAGGTTTTGTGTTCCTCCACCTCACTGTACCTTGTACTGCAAGAATCTGCTCTTCTGAGAATGTTGCAGTTCCTCAGCTTATGTCCAGAGATGCACATGCACATATAAAGCTGTATGTGACATGGGAAGAAATGATGGTTCATGTATTCAACTTTATAGGAAAGGTAGAATTTACTTTCCTTAAAGCAACATGGTTTTACATTCAGGCCTATCCTAATGAATTCTTAGAAAACTTAATCCGCGGTTATATATCATAACAGGTAAAAGTACATTTGTAGTTTGTATTATCTTCTAGTGTTTTTTATGGGTAAGTGTCAAAACCAAACTAAGTAGGATACTAGGTGTGATTATCATTTCAAATGTGGGGCTGGTGAAATGGGTCAGTGGGTAGACACCTGCTGCCAAGACTGACAACTTGTGTTTAATTCCCAGGACCCACAGGTGTAAGGAAAGAACTGACTCCTGCAAATTTGACTTTTCCACATGGGTCGCATGGGTGTGCTTGTGTAACACACGTACACGTGTGCACACATACACATACATGCACACACACACAACACAGAGAATAATTAATGAAATGTAAATATAAACAATATTTAAATATCAAATTATATTTTTCTCTCTCTTTTTCTCTCTTTCTCTCTCTCCCTCTGTGTGAGTGCATATGTGTGTACCCTTCCAAGTTCTGAGGACTTTAATTTGCAACATCTTCATGTGGTTATTGTGTACATAGTGTTTGAAAACTACTGTATCTATTTTGAATGAAGGAGGGATATTTTCAAATATGTTTATACATTTTGGTTTAATTCACCTTCGATATTCCAGCTACAATATTCCTCCATTTTAAACTAGACAAGATAAAATGTGCATTCAGTCTAAATGAAAAGCTATTTATGCCGGTTGATAGTGGCACACGCCTTTAATCCCAGCACTTGGGAGGCAGAGGCAGGTGGATTTCTGAGTTCGAGGCCAGCCTGGTCTACAGAGTGAGTTCCAGGACAGCCAGGGCTACACAGAGAAACCGTTTCGAAAAACCAAAAAAAAAAAAAAAAAAAAAACTATTTATATAATTCTTTATTAATTTGAAAACACCCTATTGATGTGTTTGCCTCCATCCATTCAAGTCCAACGTGTAAATTTATCTTAGCTTTTGAAGTAGATATACTCATGGTAGGTAATATACTTGAGCAGATGTAATAACATATACATTAAGATTTATCTAAGAGAATATAAACACAAGCTATCATTATTTAGGTTGAGTATGAGAAGAGAATTATGCATGGAATTCCTCTATGGTTGGGGTCAATTATATAAATATGACTTGTCAGAGTTTATTACATGATTAGTCTTCCAAAAATATGAATACCTAATATTTTAAATGATATATCTCAGGGCATATGGAAACCTTGTTCATTCAGGAAGTGCTATGACACAGCCCGTGTTGAATGCTGGCCTGTCAATGGGCTGCGCTCTCAACGGACTCATCACGCCATAGAAGACAGGCATATACACATCTATAACGCAGAGAGATTATCATTGCAGTGAAGTTTTGTATGCAGCTTAGTAAGGGGCAGGAGATTTCGGTTCAAAGGAATCCGTTTTAGGAAGGGGAACTTAAGCTGGAGTATAGAATGTGGGTTTGTTTTCCAGGAGGGCATCTGGGAAGACAGGGCAAGTTAAAGAGACTGGCAAGTGCACATGAACAGAGGGATGACGGTCAATTCAAACGACTAAACAGTCTTCTACAGCCAGGCAAAGGAAGGATTTAATACGTAGTTTGGGTAAGAAGTTTAAACTTGGGAAACAAGGCAGTTGGCTGGCATTTCCCTTAGGGGGAAACACATCCCATCAGCCCTCGCTATTTGACTCAGAGATTTTTGTTTATCAACATTCTATTTCCATCTTCAGGATGGCTATACATGGGAAACTACACCTCTCCCTTCCATAGAACTTTTTTCATGCAAAAGAACTGATTGGCGCTAAAGACACAGACAACTAATTTAATGAAACATTAGTAGTAAAGGGCTATTATTTCTGTTTCTTGAAAAGGTTTATTGCCAATTGAACACACTTCAAGAGACATAAATTAGCCTTAATGAACATAATGCTATAGACTCTTGACATGTTACAATTTAGAGAATGTGTTGTAAAAGGCTGCTTGTATCTTATTGGCCTTTGCTTTATAAAAGAAAAAAAATACATAGTAAGTTCGAAACTGAGTTATTTTTAACAACACAGCTCAGTAACTTTGCATACTTTAAAATAGTGGTTTTATTTGACATTGTTTTTTAAATGATGAGGTTAATTACTCTGGCAGAAGAAAGGATCAATTTGTAGTCTTTTCCTTTTTAGTTTCTCCAGGGTAACTTTGAGATCATCCCTTAATAACCCTGCAAGCTTTAGGTTTTTAGTTTTCAAAATGAGATGTGTGTGTGTGAACTGCTAACTGCAGGTTCTAGAAGTGAGCTAAGGTTATCATGTTCACCTAAAACAACTATCTCACGTATCTTATTGCCAGCATACAGGTGTCTTTATTCAGTATGTAAATGCTTTTTACATAATAATATTTTTATATTTCTCATGCTTATAATCAAACTTTGGCAAGAATGTCTTTTTTGGAATGAATAGAAATGAGCTGCAAAATTCCGATGTTCCCGAAATGGATTGTGTTGCTTTTATTCTGTGGTTCAAAAGCAAAATATTATTGGCCAAAGGAGGACA